TTTCTGGCATTAGAAATTCACCCGCAGCAGGGAGTCTGCAGCAGCAAGCAAGGACTCGTCTGTTCAGTGGCTCTTTGAGAAAAGTTTGGGAAAGAGGGGAAGCCGAGTCATGGATTTAGCAGGTGACTCTGGCTAGTACACCTCCATTGTAAAATTTCTGAGGCTGGCAGAAGCTGAGAACATGCATGATTTTCCAGCATGGGTCCAGAAAATACATAACTGCTTCCTTGTAACTCAGAGTGGAAACAGCAGCATCATTTCCAAGGGAAGCTAGCCCTGTGCAGAGCCACCTCCGGTGTTGGTCTACATGCTCCTGGGGATGGGAGTGCTGCGGTGACTCCTGGAGCAAGTGAGGTTTTTAGAGCTCCAGCACTGTTTCCTCATGAGCCTTTTCCCTCCATCCCTGGTGTTCCCAAGACTAATGAAGCCCCATGCTGCAGTGCATGAATGTAGACAGAGGTTGACCCAGCTGCTGCCATCCTGGAGAACATGGTGTTAGCAGAGCTCAGGGACCTTGGGAATGTGTCCGGGATGTGATCTGGATGGAGCTGCCTCCATTTGCTCAAGCCCTGCCTGAGCTAATCACCCTAATTGTCCTTTGGGAGCCCGGGCAGACCCAGCACTGGTGGACCAAGTGGGAGTTAATAAATCCAAAATGGACCCACTGGGGGTTTATTTTTAACTTCTTATAGAAATAGTGGGACAGGTGTATTATTAGAAGTTTCTTTCCAACCACCTGTGTTACCTAAGGGCCCCTCTCCCACTGTGGCTACCAATAACAGGGTGCTTCCCCTAGAATAAATAATTGCTTCTCCCCAAAATCAAGAAGGACAGATGTCTGAACTATGGTTCAGCAAGTTGTTTTATCCCGAGGCCCTGCACCTTTAATCTATGACACATCTAAAAATGTTAAAAGGTTGGCTATTAGGAGGCAGGGAGTGTCGAGGAGAAGTTGCCGTCTTAGCTGGAGATACCTGTGCTAAGTGTACAAGTGGTGCAGGCTGAGATCACGAGGACCAGGGCAGTTAGCACAAGCTTCTGTGCATCCCTCTTGACAAACCCCACTTCTTAGTTCCTTCTAATGCTGCAAAATGGGCATTTAAATTCTCTGCCAGGTCGGCTATTCATCACGAACACATTGAAGCTTAATTGCTAATTAATTTTCCCTAGATAATGTAGATGTATTTTTTTTTTTCAGTGTGTGAAATCTAAAAGAACTTTCTGAGAACCAGCCACAAACGAGTTGACTGTAATTGGTGTTCTTTCACTTAGGTGAGAAGTAACAGCTCATCAACTCTTAATTAGCTTGGACTTTTTCGAGAGCAGTTTCCAATTTTTTGACAGAAAGATATACATCTTGTTTCTCCTGTAGCGATACAAAGAAAGTCATTTTACCTTGAATTGACAAATCGGGCTGAGTTTGTTGGTGTTTTCTTCCTCCTGATGGTGAGCGTCGAAGCTGCATGTCATACCTGGATTGCTGAGCAATTTATTCAGTTAGTGTCTCTTGTCACAGAGAAAAGAGCACTGATTATACAAGAAAGAGAGTTTGAGCTCAGTTTAATTAAATTGTGAATGGGTAACCAGCAGCGCTTGGAGTGATGCATTAAGATACAGAGCAAATTTTCAATATCAGCATCAGAGAAAATTTGTATTTTGTGTCTGTTGTAGGTGAATGCCATTTCTGTTCCTTGTACAGGGAAAGCTGTGGCAACAGAAAATGTGAAGCCGCCTCAGATTGGTCAGACCCAAAAAAGGGTCCTGCTAGGACAAATTGTCTGCCTGGCAGTTGTCTGCTTGGCTTGGGAGCCCAGGAGCGAGCCCCTTGAGGAGATGCTGCAGGGGAAGGTGACTGTGCAACGAGAAATGGTGATGATGCAGCAGGATCAGCCCCAAGTCACCTCACTGCGGTGCCCGACCGGGCGGGCTGGGAATCATGGTTACCAGGATGGGTGCTATGTATGTGCCAGTAACACTTGCCAAGTTTTAATTACATATTGTACGATTATTCAGTGTAGATGAGGCCTTTTGGCAAAAGGAAAGCTCTCACCTGTGTTAGCGCACATGGGGATAATTTTGTCACAAGAAAAAACGGCCATGTGCTGCCCGCTGCCTTTGGGACTAGTGATGGCTGAACTGTTTGAGTGGGGGAAGATTCAGACTCAGATGAGTCCTGTGGGCAGGGATGAGAGGCCCCAGGCTTTGCAGAAAGCTTGTCCTGCCCTGGCAGAGAGCTCCCCTCTGGAAGCTGGGGCAGGGAATGGGAGTTGGGACATGGGCGGGGGGGCCGCAGGGAGAGAGCAGGAGTCGAATCACCCTTTGTCTTGAGATTCAGGAGGGGAGGCTTTGATAAGCTCTGTTAGCATGTGCTGCAGGTGTTTCTTCTTATTAAACTGTGGTCCTTTAGCAAAGCACTTTTTAATGGGATCAGCTTTTGATTATTTTTTTTTCATATTAGGAACCTGCCATTAGAAGGTAATTTTACAGGTGGCTTAGGTGCCTCTAACAGCCTGCTGGCAACACACTTATACTGATGTCTGCAGGAAGAAATCAGCTTTTAGTAGGGAAGATGGACAAGCACATGCGGATCAGTCATGAGAGATGGAGGAATCCCAGTACAAACGTTTGGGGATACAAACTGCCAACCAGGTCAGATTGAATAAGAATAAATCTCTTCCAAAGGTACACTTGAAAACCACAGGTTTCATTCAACATTTTAGGTAACACATTTTTATTCTCTGCATAAGTGATTAAGCCAAACTTCTGCTAAGACCTAGTTTGCTCGCAATCTTTTAAAAGCACTGAAATCAAATTTTAAACTAAGCAGTACATGATTGTGGTTGGAGGAGGCCAGGCTATTAATGCTCGATATCGGTTTGTTAAAATACTACGAGGAGTTTCAGTATTAGCAGCCTGTGGTGCAGATGCAGAGCATGTTTCCACTTGCTCGATCCACTTGTTAAGTTTTAATTTCATTCAAATCTGAGAAGCCAATGAGAGATTATTAATGTAGGAAAGCTAGTATGGCCCTTCTACTCTGTGAATATAAACAAGACCCATGGAAATGAGCTTTACTAGTTCTAAAATTCTAGAGAAGTTTAATTGTAGTCAGTGCTGTTCCCTCAAAAAATACTTTGTTTAATAAAGCTTTGTACAGGCAATATGCATTTTTCAGAAGCGTTTCTTTCTTTTGTTATACGCCTAGCACAGTGAAGTCAATTTATATAACTAAAAACATGCTGTTTGATTTTAATTGAATAACAGTTTCCCTCCAACTAGAGCTTATCATACATCACTAAAAAAGAATAGTAATTTAGATTTAAAGAATAGTATAATCAGGTTTGCTTCAAAAAGTCCCTAAAAAGTACAAATGTAATTGAAATGAAAATGATTATTTAAATCATTTTTCCTCTCACTGACTTAAACAATGACTAAAGTTGCTCATGTAAATCAATAAATTGAATCGGGCTGGTCCTGCTATGAGTTCCCCACTGTGCAGTCTTGCAGAGCCTGCAGGTAGCTGGCAGTCGAGAGGATGTTGGTAAGGGAGGAGTTGAATCTGGCATCTTTACCCTGCCGTATGTGGCAAGAGAGTCACGTTTCTGTCACTTCTACAGCCACTGAACCTAGGCTGTAAAACCATTTAGCTGTTTATACCTAAACAAAAGCAGGGTGCAAATCCAACTGAGCAAATGGGATGAGAACCTCAAACACGATAATCTTGGCCTCAGTTCAAAAACACTTGAGCACAACCCTGTCTTTAAATACATACTAAGACGTGCCTGTTCCTGTTGTAGCACCTGGGACTCTGGCACATGTAGAGAGGTTGTGCCTCAGAGCCAGGGTGGCTGCGATGACTAGGGCTGATGTGGGCATCTCTGCGAAAGGTTGGCGCCGTGGTTGGTGGCCACCTGCCTGAGGTGGATCTCACCAGGGCTTTGGAAATAATGCATGAGAAAGTAAGCATTGAGGCAGGAAAGAAAGGTGGCTCAAACAAGTTGCACTGATTTCTTCGAAGGCAACTTCAAGTTGTGCAGTGGATCGTGGTGGTTTTGGGTTGGTGGGGATGGCAGCTAGTCAGGGTAGGGCCACGTTCTCTTCAAATAAATGTGCTGCCCCAAAGAAAGGCTTGTGCCTGCACGGACTTTGTCTTTGACAGCTGTGCTTTGTGCTTCAGACATGTATATTGTGCCGGAGTCCTGCTGACTTCCCCAAATTATCAGTGCCTCAGCCAGGAATGGCAACCTTCCGAGGAAAAAAGGAAATGGGGGGAGAAGTTCTGCTTTAAAACTGAAGAAGTTGCAGTCTTCTTCAGAAGAGCCCTTGCTTTTGTGTGACGGTAAGAGCAGGTGATGCTGGAGGAATTCCAGCCTTTGATAGGATGAAATGGAAGACTTCAGGTTATCTTTTAGGTGAAATCTTTATCTTAGTTTATTTTGGTGTGGATGCTAATATTGATAGACTAGTCTGACTCTAACAGCAGTCATTACAGCATAGACCTCCATGGCCTGAGCAGCATCCGGGCATCCTTGTATGTTTACAGCATTTTCTAGTGATGTTTAACAAGTCTCAACTTCTGTGCCAGAAGTGGCTGGTTCTTGATTTGGGGTTGAGTGTCTCATAAGGTGTTGGCTGACGATTGTGGCAAGTTATGCTGTGTGTGAGCGATGCCAGTTGATGCATTCTGTAAAGAAGACCTGTGAGTAGCACTATGCCACCTTACACGCTCAGAGAAGAGCCTCAATTTCCGTTCCAGGTGAGGCCACCAGAAGAGGCGGAGAGGCCCAGACCATGGTGCACTGGCACTGGGGGGGTTCTCCCTTCGATCTTCTCAGCTAAGGCTCGAGACTGAGAGTGTGGGTAAGGTTGGGTGGAGGATAAGCTCTGATAGGTCCCTTCTCTTTTCTCAGGACATTTTTTTGTGCTGCCAAACAGCACAGCCCGTTGGATTCCTGCTTGTCCGACCGATGCATCACCATCCTCTTTTTCTTCTTTTTCAGGTTATTTCCAGGATTTATTGAACAAGTCAGAAAAGGCCCTTTATGATGCTTTTCCAAGTATGTACGGAGAATTGTACACTCAAAACATGAAGGTCTTCAAAGACTTGTACAGCGAGCTACGCCGCTATTACCGGGGCTCCAACATCAACTTGGAAGAGGCCCTCAATGAGTTCTGGACACGCTTGCTGGAGCGGCTCTTCAAGCTGATGAATCCCCAGTACCATATCACAGATGAGTACCTGGACTGCATGGTGAAACACGCAGAGCAGCACAAACCCTTCGGGGAAGTTCCCAGGGACCTGAAGGTGAAGGCAACCCGAGCCTTCATTGCGGCACGCTCCTACGCGCAGGGCTTTCTTGTGGGCAGCGACGTGGTCAAAAAAGTGTCTCAGGTATGTTGGGGTTCTTTCTTCTCTGTCCTCAGACTGACAGGAGCTGGACAACTACTGCTGTTGGGAAGAGGGGGGGTTATTTCCCCTGATGTTTTCATTACAAAGCAAGCAGGTGTTTTTCAGTTTTATAAAACAAACTGCTTGAGGGTCACCTATCAGTGGAAGGGAGCAGCAAGCCGGGACTTCTACAGGCACTGATAGCGCAGAAGCAAGGTATAACTCACCACAAATCAGTCTTTACCTCATCTTAACCTATGCAGCAGAGTGCCAAGGAGATGTCAGTCGCCCAGACTGTAAAGCTGTTCTGTTGCTGCCTAGATTCCTCGCACTTCCCTGGCAGGGAAATGGCATGCTTCTAAATCATGCTGCCTTATTTTCCTCCTTGATGGCAATATGATGTAGGGTGTGCAGAGCTGACTTGCCACGAGTGTGCTGGGAAAACGCACGGAGAGATGCATTTCAGCGGTCGGTGATGGGATTGCTGTGTCTGTTTATGTAGCCGTGTATATTTGTACAGTGTCTGCGTACAGAGAGGGCAAGTTTGTAAAGTGCATTGGGATCTTCAGGGATGAAAGGTGCTATATAAATGTAAATTAACATGACTGAATCCAGGGTTTCAGGAGGAAGGAAATTGTCTGTATTCTTTACTGCAGAAGCAACCTTTCAGAGCCAGAAGAAGGTGATTGTCCTGAAACAAGATATTCAGGCTTTTCACACAGGTAGCAAGGAGAAAATCCATACTAAAAAAATGACTTGCATACTGCATGTGGAGATGGCAATCAGCAGGTATGAGAATCAGGGCATGATTAAACTGTGAGTGTAAAAATACACAATTCATTTCCTCGGAAGGTAATGCATGGTAATGCGTAGCAGAGGGCGGTACTATTTGATGCAGCAAATCCAGATTTTGATCTCAGGAGGAAACATTAATGTGGTAACAGTGACAAATGCTTTAATTTATCAGTGTGGGACTATAAAACTGTTCAGCTACCCAAAAGCCTTTGTACATCTCATTAACATCACACTGTCCTGACACTTAACACAGGTAAGAGGAGAATGGTGTAATTTCAGGGGGACCAAAGTACAATATTTTTCATAAATCCTCTGAATGGCAGAGATTTCTAACTCAATGTGTGTGATTCTGCCTGTGGGTGGGTTTGGTGAGTAAAGCAGGCTGGCAGAGCAACTGCAGTCGTGGTATCAGCAGAAGGAAAGGACCTGAGATTACCAACATGCAGCGTATTTTTTCTCCTACCTTCATGTAGGCTTCTGACCCATGGGATTTTGATTCTGGTCCCCCTTTTCTGAATTCTCCTCCTTTTCTTGGCATCACTTATCAAACAGGGCATGGGATACACAACCAGTCACAGATCCTCTTCTTCCTCCCCACAACCCGTTCCTCCAGGATGGAGGCTCTTCCAGGAGGGTCCCAACCATTCCTCTCTCTCACAAGAGCCCTGCCTGGGGTTGTGGTTAACCCAGCATCTCGCTGTTGGAGCACAAACTGCACGAACTGAGTCAGGAAACCTCAGCAAAGCCTCCCTGAGAGCTGATTTTATAACGAAGGCCAAAACTGACCCATTTTCCCTGTCTTCAGGAATGGGTTTAGTACTTTAGGCAAGTGAACGCTGAGGTGGGAAATCCATTTTATGGATGCCCTGGTAGTCCTCAGCTGGGTCTAAAATAAATGGCCTGGTTTGCCCACGTTCCTTTACCAGACGTGGGTTTACACAAGTGCCAAATGGATGCGAAGTGCTGAATGCGATTCACAACTGGTGCTTTGGTTTCAGTCATTTTTCATGTTGCTTTATACTTGTGACATTAGGAGAAAGGATATAAGACTTTTATTAAGATCAGAGACTGGGATTTGACTTTCCTGTCAGCTGGTAGCAGCAGTCTTTAAAAATAACTCTTTGAGCTGAAATTTCTTGGGGAGCAGCAGTGAGTGTTTTGGTCAGGAAGTCTGGGGAAAGCCCATGGAAATGGACACATAGAAATAAATTACTTAGCTTTGCCCTTCTGAAATACTAGATTACTTTGACTTTATTCGTTTGCAAATCCCAAAAAAGCTACTGATTTCTATTACAACCCTCCCGGTTTCATCTGCTTACACACTTCCAGTTCAGTGTTTGTCACCTGTAGCCTATCGCTGTTTCAGGTCCTTGTGCAGCATCTGCATTGCTGGGCATCCTGGAGAAAGGCTGGTGCTGTTTGCCAAATTTTCTGGCTTGCTTAAAATGGGGAAGAGCCCGTTCTGACTGAGCTACAGGTGGGGATTTCGTGAGATTTCTTTAATCCCTGCTGCCTCTCCACCGTGCCCAAGGGACGTTTCTTCCTCAGCCTCCGGCTTCTCTTTGGGCAGCCCTTGGCCGGTGGGTGCGCAGGGATAGGAATGGGAGCAGTGTCCTGGGAGCAGCTCTGCATCCTGCTGGGGATAAATAGTTTGAAAGCAGCCGGGGAGAAAATGGCAAAACCATTTTTCATCTTTACTGCCGTCCTAGCTTTTAAGGCAAAGTCACCCTGACAGACTGCAGGCTCTGACACCAAGATCTAAAGCTTTTAATGCCACGGTTCCTGCCATCAACCTGGCCCCACGCTGACAGCGGCGGAAGCACTGCCATCTGCACAGCGGCTGTGGGAGGGGGCCGGGGGGGCCTGGGGCACGTGCGTGGCTGCTGTGGCTCTTCACAGCCAGGGATGGATGTGCAGGTTGGCTCCCTGCCCTGGTACAGGGTTAGGGGTTATCGATGTCCCACGCGTGGGTGGAGGGGTCGGGGCAGCATCTCTGCGTTCACAGCCAGGCTGTGTGTTTCCATAGCTATTCTTTCAGCACAAATTGCAGGTTTTCCCTTAAGTTGCATGATGCCAAATGCATTTTTCATCATCCATGTGAAGTAGTGGCTAAGAAACAGCAGCAGCCACC